TATATTGAATATTATCAATTATGTTAATTAGAACCTACATTTTCATAATGCTTTATAAATTGCTCTATGCTGGTCACTTTATTAAACAATGCTACTCATTTTATATTTGGAAAAGTAGGAGTGTAAATTCTATGCAGGTTCAAAGCTCATACAATATAGACTCTACATGTGTGGTGTATTAAAATGGGCACTTTTTACAAGCATTGATGTGTAGTTTCACTTCTGGTTGGAATGAAAAAAAAAGTTCTACTTTGTGCATATTTATTAAATCCTATTTATTAATAAACTTTGCATTACTAAGAATGCAGGTAATCTGTGTTATCCACTTCATATAGTACTTGAGAGAGTATTACTTGCCTGGAAAAGCATTACTAACCTGAGAGGGCAATACTGGCCTGATATGGCAATACTGGCCTGAGGGGACACTGCTGTTTATATATGCCAATTGTAAACCAAACATGGCTCCCACGCACTATGGTTGCCGATCTAGAAAACTCAGCTGTAACATACTCAATTCATTACAACATCGTTATCAAAGGTCATGATGTATGTAATATGGTCCAAGTTATCCAAATATTACAGCAACTTGTCAAGAACATCGAGAATTGGTAAGTTATAGTGAGGTTTTCGCCTAGCAACTTCTGGTTTTCGCGGTTTTCGCAGTTTTCGTATTTTCGTAGGACCCAGTACTACATGTTGCAGTAACTTCAAACTGTCACCTCAGAATGTTTGGAAATTGTGCTTTTAGAATCTGATACCAAAATCCTTTAACTGAGTATCTTATATAACAAAAATGCATATAAACTGCAACTAAAATCACCTTACTGTTACAGTTGCTTGTGGCATTTCTGTGATGTAGTAATGAAACTAACTTTCTTCAACTACTGCATGGTAAATGGAAAACATCACTTGACCTACTTTCCCCCTCCTTCTCTCGTGACCTTGACCCGCCCCTCGACATTACCACATTTTTGGGGGCTTTTTGATTATTACCGAGAATGTATTATCTTCAGTTACACAATATGGAGAGTTGAATTTTAATTTTGAATAAGATATATTACAAATTATTGTTAGTTGCGACACTCTGGTAAAAAAAGGAAAACGTGCTATACAGAAATAGTTCCCATAATGCCACAGTGCTGTAACGCCAAGATGGCTGCTAACAAACTGATGTCAGCGGTGGCGAAGTTGGCCCCTCGGGCTGTTCAGGGAGGGGCTAAGCCAACTTCGATGATACCAAATATGAAAATAGGTACCCCTTGGGCAGGGCTTAAAACAAGAGGGGAACTAGTAGAAGCAGGACTTATGGGTAGGTTAATGAAACACGACAAATAATAAAAATACACATTCAACGCATATCGTAGTTGCGTAGTGTAACTTGTAGTAAATGAAAATTAATGATGCATTCTCCAATTCGATAGCACACCTGAGATTTGTCACTTCTCACTCCCAAGGCTAGTTGTCGCTTTTATAATGCTTGTTAGAGAATGGTGTTTTAGTTATTCCGTCGAGAACTGGTGAGACAGGAATGGTAGTCCAAGGAATGGAAGTCCTGGGTCCCATATATATGAATGGGACCTGTCAGGGTTAGTCAGAATATCGGGGTCAATATATGACACGAATGTCACCTGTACAAAGTCATGGGGAAGGGACTTCAGTTCCTTGTGGACTTCCATTCCTGTCAAACTGGCATTATATGCTAGGTGTCCGTAGCATAACTAAAACAAGGTTCCCATAAATCTGTCGTACTAGCAAGATGGATCTTACTCCAAGGGGATTCTCTCTAAGTTGCAGTCTGTTTAAGTGGCTTAAATGCCCGTCAACCCGCTGAACATGCTAGGGGGATAATTAACTTTTGTGCACACTTACACCCCATTTCCATAGATTAGATCGACCTACTTTAGATTGACCTAACTCCCTGGGGGTTCACGCTAAATAGCTGTCAGCCGGGTGGACACGAAAGGTAATTACCCCCTCTACAGCTTGTAGTAGGCGGGACGAACATTTAAGTCAGATTATCTGAAAGTAATCTAGTGAGACTCCCCGTGGGGATAGATCGATCTAAAATCTATGGGAATAGAGCCTTAAACTGAGGACAATTCAGTGAGAATCCCCTCGGAGATAGATCAATCCTGCTAGTACAATAGAGTTATGGGAATGGTCCCTAAAACCTTCCCCTGCTCAATGTTTCAAACTCTAGTAGCTTCCTATACACATCCACTTCCTTAAAAAAGACGTTTACTTTTGTCATCCTTTGCATCTTTGTACAATATAATTTGCATTGAAAGTTTGTTTTTGTGTCTGTTTTGGCACCAGCTTAATAAAGTCTTTTTATTCCCGACCAGCTGTATAGCACTTTGCCTCAGTTTTGTGGTAAGTGATCTGTTCCTCTACTAGTTATGCTACCATTAAATTACATCTACCCATCAAAAAGTGAGCAATAACAGGCTAACAAATGTGAGATCTAGTTTTGAAATATTCTTTTTCAGATGAATCAGAGCTCTCTGAACAGCACAAGAATGTGTTTAACTTTTCATATTTCCCAGAAGTTGGTAAGTAAAAGCAGGGATAGAAAGTGAGTTTTTTTTTTTTAGCTTAAGCAACATTTTGTACTGAACGCTGCTTTATTCAACAACTGATCTCGCGTCATTACAAAAAGTGGCTTTTATACAACTTTCTTTTATTGCTATGATCTCGCACAGATTTTCTCCTGCAGGCCTGTGTTCTACCAACGTGCCAAAAGTTAATTGTTTCTAATTACATAAATACGTTGTTGGCAGTGTCTCTTGAACACCAGGCACTCCCAACAATTTTGCCATTGGTTGACTAACATGGTAGCAGTACAAAAAAGATGTAGCAAAACTTACTTTAAAGTTGAAATTTTAGCTTCAGTGAATATCAGGCCTACCCAACTACCAGACTTGGCACCGAATGATCCTGAATTCACCGGTAGATCAGACCACACTACCCGTTGTCAAGGTGTGTGTCAGATCGCATCACACAGTATCAGACGCGACATCGCTCTTGCCTAGTACGCGATGTGATAGTGACAATTCTCAGCGGGGTTGAAAAGTATTGCATCACCACTCAAAATTTGTTCAGGGTATGATAATGTGTAATGCGATCTGACACACACCTTGAAAACGGGTAGTGTGGTCTGATCTACCGGTGAATTCAGGATCATTCGGTGCCGAGTCTGGTAGTTGGGTAGGCCTGAATATATAGAAATTATTTTGGGATCATTTGGTGCCGAGTCTGTAGTTGGGTGTGCCTATGGCCCTACAGAACATCTTCAGGCACTGAAATTCAGCATCGGACTTTAAAAACGAATTAGGTGTTTTTTAACTCCCAGCTTCAGATTTGTGAGTACCCAAATTAATGACTCCAACCATGAATTAGTTACACCAACATTAAATAACTTGCCATAATCACAGCTTATCAATATTAAAGATGCATACAAAGTCAATTTTTTTGCCACAAAAACCAACCAAATGCCAGCACATAGTTTCAAGTAGTATAACTAAGAGAATTACCAAAAGGCATTGTTTAATTTTACCCTAAAATGATGTTTGAACAGATTTTTCTGTTAGCATTCTATGCTGTATGTCAGTGGGGCAGAAAAGTAGGTCACGAAAGTAGGTTAAATTTCCGACCAAAATTTAAAAGAAAGGAGCAGTCTAAAGGTTCTTTATGGCTGATTGTGTGATCTTTTCAGTTTATCCCTTGGCATGTCGAAATTATTTGAGTCGTATAAGAAACTAGTAGAAGTGGTTTACATGTGTTACTGGGAATCCATGCTCCACCGATGCTCGGTTCGTATGTACCTTTAAGAAATATTACATGCATTTAAAGGTACATACCAACCGAGCATCGGTGGAGCGTGGATTCCCAGTAACACATGACACATTTGACATGCGAAGGGATAAACTGAATAGATCACTCTTTCAGCCGTAAAAGAGCTTAAAACTGATCCTTTCTTTAAATTTTTGGTCAAAAATTTAGCCTTAGTTATACAACTTGAAACTATATGCTGGCATTTAGTTGACTTATGTGACAAAAAGTTGACTTGATATGTATCTTTAAGTGATTGGTAGGTAATATTTAACAATATCTCCAGGACTTGAGAAGGATGGCCATTTTCTTTTCTTTCAAATAATTGTAATCCTATATTTTACAATAAGTGCAGGACTTATATGGGATGACAATTTTCTTTTCTGTTAAATAATTGTAATCCTATATCTGCAGGACTTATGTGGGACGACCTAGCATACGGCAGGGATCCAACTGTTCGAGAAGCTCTCAGACGCCTGCCTCCCGACGTACACGCGGCAAGAATGGTGCGCATTTCGCGTGCCCTCCTTTTGTCAGCTCAAAGGAAAGTTTTACCTGAAGAAGAGTGGACAACATTGGAAAGTGTATGTTTAAATTTTCAGTATATATGAAGTTGCCCTTTTCCCAATATATGAGAATGAACATATGAACAGGGTATGAACTTGTTTTTGAACATGTTCAAATTATTTTATCTCTTTTGGCGTATGGGAACATACCGCAATGTTTTCCTGCATGACTTTTACGACATTTGTCAAAGGAATCCCTTGCGTTGGTCTGTGTATGGGCAGTTCTTTTCTCTTATAAGTTAGTACTATAGGCTTTGGTGTGGCAGTACCTTCGGAATCAAAGCTTTCCACGGACGGAACCTTGCGTGTTCTTGAGTGTAGATCTAGCAGCTCTTTACAAAATCAAATTTGTAAGTTTTAGAGTGCATTCCCATAGATTTTTGATCGATATATCCCCGTGGGGAGTCTCACTAGATTACTGTCAGATAATCCGGCTTAAATGTCCGTCCCGCCTACTACAAGCTGTAAGGGGGTAATTAACTTTAGTGCCCACTCGGCTTACAGCTATTTAGCTTGAACCCCCAGGGAGTTAGGTAGATCTAGTTGGATCGATCTAATCTCTGGGAATGGGGTCTCAGATTTTTTTTCAATTTGTGTTTCATCTTTTTAATTTTCCTTTTTGCAGGATATCCCATACATGGCCCCCTACATAGAGCAGGTTAAACGTGAAAAGGAGGAAATGAAGGAATGGAAGTCAAAGGATTGATCTTGGACCTTCAGTTGTTGATACAGTTGCCATGGATTTGGTTGCCATGGTTTTGGTTGCTATCGATGTGGTTGTCTTGGATCAGCAGCTGAAGAGTCATTAGTTAATTAATATTATTTAAGACAAAAGAAAAAAAAAAGAGAGAACTTTGTTTAACCAGCACAGTTTGGTGTAGTTTGACAGCAAATATTCACAACTTTAAAAATCTAAAGACTTTCCTGTTAATAAGGAAGCGATTTTAAAGCATGCCCATTACCAGAGATGTGGTAGAATTTGATTATTTGGCTTAATCGGCGAAAAAGAGTTGATAGCTGTTCTGCAACCCTTGGGGGAAATGCGGGACTTACTTGCCAATTTAAAATAAATTGATCGTGTTGTACATATATATGCGCGTTGCTTTGTTGTATTTCTGCAGCTGTTTTACCACAAGAGTGTACTAGTAAGTTTCTGATGGACCGACCATACAACTGTTTTGTGACGTGTACTTTAAGACGAGAGCGTGGACGTGCTTAAGAGGGCAATTTTCTTCAAGTTATCCCAATGTGTTGTTGTCAAAAGCAAACTTATTCCTACAGTTATTTATTTCGTATAATCATTTTATGATATATAATGCAGAGAGCGGGAGATGTGATGCTCAATAAATTTTCCTGGCCTGTATGTGAACCAGTGAAATTAAAAGCTCCCGTCGAATACTCTAGGCATCAGTTAACCCCCCCCCCCCTGCCTTTTTGGCACCAACATTAATGCGTTACAAATTATCTTCCGATATACGTTGAATTACCAAATATAGCCCACATACAAAATTGTCACTTCAACTTGAACCAAACTCGGACTGAAACTTTCAAGTTGAAAACGGAGCTTACCAAACGTTATACTCATTCCCAATTCTACGGAGATCGAGTCGATGCAATTCCGCGAACCTCTTGCTGAATTAACGGATTAACATGCCTCCTCTTAGTGGCTGATTTAGGAGGGGGC